GCTCCTGGGCCGCCTCCCTTGCGCTGCTGCCGAGGATCCGCATCCCTGCGGGCAGGGCCCGGTGCCCTGCGGGGCGGTGGGAGCCGCGGGGAGGGTCCCGTGGGCTCAGCAGTGGCTGGGTGGGTGTTTCCCACCCTCGTCCTTCCCCACCTCCGTCCCTTCCCGATGGTTTTCCGCTCGCAGCCACACGCGCGGTGACTCACGCTGTAAAAATACCCCCCTCCCTCGAACCTAGAACAGAAAATGCGCCTTGACTCACAACCTGCGGGCGATCCGGGGCTGCAGCACCGACACCCCCGGCGAGGGGCTGGGAGCAGCCCCCGGGCCGTGCAGGGAGGGACTGGGGGCTCACCGAGCACCCCCACACAGAGAGGGACACCCCGACCCCACCGCAGCACCGTGGGGCTGCCACGGCCCCGCTCCCGGCTCGGGAAATGTTTTTTTGGGGAAGAAAAAGTCACCGTGGTGCGGCCACGGGAGAGGGGAGGGGACGGGGATGCTCCTCGGGGGCTGCCCCGGGTCACGCTGGGCTGGAACAGCCTCACAGCCGGGCTCGCACACACGGGAACCCCTCCAGCACGGGCGTGACCCCCGGGGCAGGAATCGATCACCGGGATCGGGAATCGATCCCCAGGATCTGCCAAACCCATCACAGCCCAGCCCGCTGGGCAGAGGGCCGGGGGGCCGGGGCTCGGGGGTGCCTGGAGCCCCCAGAGCTCGGAGAGGGGCCCCGCAGCTGCAGGATTCCTCGCAGGTCAGCGTCTGCCAGCGGGATGACTCAGGGGGATTAGTGGGATTTGACGGAGCAGGGAACATCGGGGGACATCGAGGCCATGGGCCTGACCTCGGCCATGTAGGGCCAGTCCTGCCCGGAGCCCCGGGGGCACGGGGGGCACGGGGGGCACGGGGCCAGCGGGGGCCAAATGGCACCGGGACCCCGACCCAGCCCCACTTCAGCCCCCAGGGAGCTGCGGCCCCTGAGCTGGACCCCCAAGCAGCCCCCCAGACAACGGGGTGGAGGGAAGGGGAAGCACTGCAGGGCAGGGCTCGAGGGGCTGCACTGCTGGGTGAGTTCCTGCCCATGAAGCTCCTCTTTGCTCTCCGTCACAAAGGGGTGTTTGTGCACTTGTTTTTGAAGGATGCAGCATCCCAGGATGGTGACACTGGGCTGTGGAAACCCCAAATATTCCCTGATAGGGCATGTGGAGACCCTGAGTGTGGGAGAGCAGGGATGAGGGACTCACTGTGCTGAGATGCGGGACTGGAGACACCTGGGCTGTAGGAGACCCAGATTGTGGGAAACTGGGATGCTGAGGCAGGGATGTTGGAGACCTTGCATGTGAACACCAGAGGTGTTGGAGACCCGGGATGTAAAGCCCCCAGCATGCTGGAGGTGGATATGGAGAGCTGAGATGTAGGAGACCCAGGTGTGGGATTGCCAGGGTGGGGAGACTCAGGGTCTGAAAGTTTGGGACACTGACCCCAGGATGCTGAGCCCAGGTTGTGAAGACTTGTGATGAGAACGCCTGGGATGTGGAGCCCTGGGTTACAGACCCCAGTTGCAGGCAGGGCTCAGGGATCCTGCTGGCCCCTCTGGCCCCAGGCAGCCCCGTCCCGGTGCTCTGGTCCCGGTGCAGCTCCCAGCAGCGGGGCAGACACGCCACAAGGACAGGTTTCTTTCACCAGCTTTTATTCCGGCTGATTCTGTCGGTTCCTTCACATTTATTCAAGGCACTCAGTGGCAGGGCGAGTACAAAATTAACAGTAAAAAGGGGGTGGATGTGAGGGAGCAGCTGGGGGCGGGGGGGCAGCGGCGGCTTCTCCTCTTCC